TAGTGTCACTGCTGAGTGGATAACCATCAAAATAATATCTACACAATAGCAGTCTTATTGTCAGAAACTGGAAAATGATGAATGGGTAGAGGTGGACAACAAATAGGGTACAGTCTGTAATTGTACACCTTATATAGTGGACCTAAAAGGAAGGTGGATCCTCATAAAGTGGTTCTCACTCACAAGTTGAGTGAACCTGCTAGTAATTCTTTATAAAAATGTTCATAAATAAGCAAAAGAGCCTCATATGACACTAAACATTATGCATTAAAAGTGTGAGGGGTAGAATGTGTGTGTATGAGTGTGTCTGTGTGCGTGTGTTTGTGTAGTTGGTTGATGGTGGGTTAGAGTTAGACATATGTTGAATTATTGTCAACTTGAAAAATAATCAAATTATGATGAACACAACACTAATTTTTCATGACAAAATGCAAAAAAGTAACTTTGTTCAAAGAGCTAAAAAGTAAAATAAGAAAACTGGATGCAGTGCTCAAACCATTTGACCAATTCCAATTTAATTTTTAAAATGTGTGCTTAGTGAAGCTCTAAGAACCACTGTAGTCAAGGAAATTTTCAAAATCCAATACGAGCATAAATTGGTTGAAGGAAAAATTAAGGCCTTAACCTTAAACTACACGTTTTGTCAGATTTATTGTAAGTGCAGTCACTGACCTGAGATCAAGCAGAGGGCGAAGAAGAGGACAGTCTTCATCCTGAATTGAACTTCAGCTTCACTGATGTTCACAGTTATGTATGTTTCATATATTAGGCTGTTTCCTCTTTCTGTGGTTAGTAGCAGAGACGGTCAACCTCATACCTCCTCCCACTACCTTCCGTGGCCATCAGATGGTAGACAAAAAAAAACAATACAAGCAAAGCAAGATGGCTGTGCAAGATCTTGTCAACTAGAACATCTTTACATTTTTAGTTCACTCACTCAAAAAGAATTTCATTAATAAAGTGTATGACATGAGTGTCTCTGTTGAGACTTTACTACACACACCTTACTAGTGTGTTATCACTTATGCACAGAAACCAGAGGCAGCATAAATCCTACATTTATTTATTATTTATTGAAGTTTTTCTGAAAAATGTACTGTTTAAAAAACTGACATTAGAAGGTCTAACCTTAATAACAAGGAGTGTGGCAGCCAGTGAAATATACCACCTAATTGCATTCCTTTCTGTCCCAAGATCAATATGATGGTTTTGTATGTCTCAGTGTTGTTTGGCACAAATAAACTTGTGACTGCTTGAGAATGTCAAAACACCATGTCTATCAGCACCAATCTTTGGAATGACGCACATACAGAAAGGTGACAAATTAAAGGAAAAACCCAAACAAATGAGTTTAGAAACATAACGACAGTAGATGCTCCCAGGCAGGTGTTCTGCAAGATACAATGAAGCAATTACATCCCACCATGCTCTGCAACATGTACAAAAAAGCTGAAGAGGGATCATTATGGGGGCACAGATAGAGCTTCAATCACAAAGACAGCTCAACTGGCTAGTGTTTCAGTAGGAACAGAATCATATCAAAAGCTCTGTTAAATGGCATGTTTTACTGATTTTCTGAGTGAAAATAAGTTAACACATTGTTTACAGGGAACGTCAGTATATTTTCCTGCAACTTTAGTGCACAATTTTATTTATTTGCTGGGTTAAACATATTGGTAAAAGCATCTGTAAAGGAGCAAACAATGTTAGTTGTGTAAGGACAGAACCCATAGTCCAAAGCCTGTGGAGGTACTGCAGTTACTGCTAACAAGCTCTACATCAAAAAGGGTAACTTACAGACTGCTTTGAGCCTCATTTATTTTGAAAAAAAATATATATATTTCAGTTTTTGTTTGTTCTTTTTCTGTTCTGTTTCCTTGGCACTTATAAATATTGCACACGTTTTGGTGATTCCTTGGAATTTATTAAAGACGTGGCCATCGGATTGGAACTCCTTTTGTCCTGGCCTCCCTGGTGCCTCTCTTTAGACACTATGACCACACAGGGTCCTTACCACAAATGGTGGCAGTGGTACTTACATCCAGTCCAGTAGGGTGCCTTTCAGATGAAAGATCTAGATTAGATTAGATTACATTCAACTTAATTGTCATTGTGCAGAGTACAGACACAGCGCTAATGAAAGGCAGTTAGCATAATAGTGCAAAATACAGTATTATTTACATATAAAGTATGGAGACTGAATGCCAGTAGTAGCCCCAGCACCACATATTCCTGGATGACCTCCCAAAGGATGATCCGGGGAACACAGTCGTAAGCCTTCTCCAAGTCCATAAAACACAGGTAGACTGGGTTGGCAAACTCCCACGCCCCCTCAACAATCTGTGTGAGGGTGAAAAGCTGGTCCATTGTTCCATGGCTGAGATGGAATCCACATTGTTCCTCCTCAATCTGAGGTTCGACTGTTGGTTAGAATCTCCTTTTCAGTCCCTTGGCATAAACTTTCCCAAGGAGGCTGAGCAGTGTGATACCGCAGTATTTGGCACATACCCTGTAGACCCCTTTCTTAAAAATAATGCCTTAAGCATTTCTGGACAAATCTCATCCACCCCTGGTGCCTTGCTACTGAGTAGCTTGCCAACTGCCACAGTGACCTCCACAGGTCACTGGTCACAGCTGCACCTGACAGTTTCCACGATTAAGGTTTTGAACAGGGTCCATTAGACTCCATGTCCCTTACCTCCTCTGGAACATGAGAAAAGTTCTACCAGAGGTGGGAGTTAAAATCATTACGAACAGGGGCCCCTGCCAGTCGTTCCCAGCACACCCTCGTTATTTCCTTGGTCTGACCATCAGTCCCAAGTCAGATGAAATGACAAAAAAGTCAATAATTGATCTTCAAAAAGCTGTGGGACCATGAACACTTAGGAACATCCTTGTGTTCGAACTTGGTGTTTGTTATGGACAATCCATGCCTACCACAGAAGTACAGGAGTAATAGAGTGATGGCTTGAGTAAGCCATTCCAGCAGTCACAACCATATTGGGAATTTCTTTGCTCTTCTACCTATGCAGGCCAGATAACATGTTTAAAAACTGTTCAATTTCTGGCTTTCCTGAACTTTCAGCCTAACTGAGAACATGCAAGTAGGTAGGAATTTTCTTAAGCTGGCTGAGAATATACTTAATAACATTGGTGCCCAGAATAACCTGATCATGCTGCCCAGGAATGACTAATGTAGGTATGCTGATTGTATGGCCATACATCTCTATTTGAGAGAGACACTTTGGCTGAACTTGAACTCTGCCACAGCCTATAAGCATGATGTCAGGACATATGCCATTGAACTCAAGTCCAATCCCTGAGCTTTTGAGCTTTTGATCTGCTTTTTGGTTCATGGTACGCTCCATGGACCCTCTACCTAACAAAGCTCTCAGGGAAACATGGCCTTTCACTGGAACATCAATTTAAAATAAACTATAATCTTTTTCCGGCTTCATCATGTTTTGAAACAGAACCTCACTTTTGTCAGATGCAGTATTCTGAGTATTGCTGTGTATTACTGAACATTGTAGATATTGCATACATTTTGGTGTTTCCTTGGAATTTAATTAAGGCATTGCCATCAAATTGGAACTCCTTTTGTCCTGGCTCCCCTAGCACCTCTCCTTAGATACCATGACCACATGTGGTCTGTACCACAGAAGTAAATGTTAACTTGTTGAGTAATATTACAATAATATTACAATAGATGCAAATATCATTAACAATAAGCAGTAATTTCATATATGTATAAGTTTTTGTGCTTTCCTAAGAGGTTGTTGCTGTAGCCATACCATACATCAAGAGAACTTTTGTCTAACAATTCACTCTAAGCCTAAGCTTTACCGCAGCTCATGTCTGCACCATGTTAGCCTCAGCTCAACTCAATCCTTCCTGTTCTAACATATACACACAGAGCCAGTGGGTTAGCCCTGCCTCACAATAAGAATCTTTGTATAACAACCCAGTGAAATAATGCCTTAGAAAAATTACCCCAAAACTAACAGGAAAAACATTGCCCAAATGCACTACACTACCCCCCTCGCAAAAGTCCTTGTCCCAGAGAAAATACTAGTCCCTAAACCAAGCTGGAAGATGCCTCCTCTGTCTGAGGCTCACTGAGGCACTTATGCATTCCAGCATAAAAACAACGGCATTAAGCACACATGTTGCTTTACCAAAGAGTTGTTAAAGAAGAATAAAGTTAATGTTTTGGATTGGCCAAGTCAAAGTCCTGACCTTAATCCTACAAAAATGTTGTGGAAGGACCTGAAGCAAGCAGTTAACTGGAGGAAACCCACCCACACCACAGAGTTGAAGCTGTTTTGTATGTACTGAAAGCAATGGTTCACATACTTTTGCCACTCACAGATATATAATATTGGATCATTTTCCTCAATAAATAATGACCAGGTCTGATATTTTTGGCTCATTTGTTTAATATGGTTCTCTTTGTCTACTATTAGGACTTGTGTGAAAATCTCAAGAATTTTTAGATCAAATTGATGCAGAAATATAGAAAATGCTAAAGAGTTCACAAACTTTCAAGCACCACTGTAAACATATTCTACACTTTTACCAGCATTATATTTAGAAGCAGTAAAAGTTCAGATGAAGCCTTAAATCTTACATAACTGAATTATTTTTTAATAATGCCTCAGAAATTTGAAAATCACCACTGAATTAAAAACTTTTTCTTCCCAAGTCAGCATTTGCTACAGTTCAAGATAACATTGCTAAAGTTACACAGATCAAGCAAAAAAAAAGCTCTATATAATACACTTGGTGATGTCAGTACCATAAACATATCAAAAAAGTCAATTAGAAATGACTCCATCTTCACTACAGGCTACAGATGACATATTCAGACAATAGATTCAGGCTGTAGATGGCATCTTTTAGCTTTTCATCCTGCTGACATCATCAATAGGATCAGAAGGTATTGTGGATACCTATGCAGTAGCATAAACTGTGTTCGGAGGATCAGAGGGGTTTGTGGGTTACTGTACTGTAGCATACACAGGGTTTGGGGGATCAGAGGGCATTGTGGGTAACTCTACTGTAGCATACACAAGGTTTGGGGGATCAGATGGCACTGTGGGGTGTTGGGCAGTGGCATATACAGAGTTTAGGGGATCAGAGGGAATTGTGGGTAACTGTGCTGTAGCATACACAAGGTTTGGGGGATCAGATGGCACTGTGGGGTGTTGGGCAGTGGCATATACAGAGTTTAGGGGATCAGAGGGAATTGTGGGTAACTGTGCTGTAGCATACACAGGGTTTGGGGGATCAGATGGCACTGTGGGGTGTCGGGCAGTGGCATATACAGAGTTTAGGGGATCAGAGGAAATTGTAGGTGGTTGGACAGCAGCATAACGTGGAGTAGATTTGGAGTCTGATTGTGGTTTCCTATCCTTAATCTCTTCATAGTCGCACACAGCAGGAGAAATCTGAAGAGAGAGAACAGCTATTAAAGGAAACACACAAGTCTCATTGCAATTAGAAGAAAAAAATATTAATACGATTTTCTACTGAAGTATTCAATGATGCAAGATAAATGATCTTATAATTTATAACTGCTGCACTGGATGTAATGATTGTAGCACTGGAATTAGGTCAGATGAGCCCAAACCTTTTGTGCAGTGTTTGTGTTGGGCCAGTGGCAAAATTACACAAAACAATACAAATAATAAGACAAGTAACAGGCCAAATCAGAAGTCTTTACTGGCTAAATTAGGCCCATGACCCACACTGTGGTGGGAAAGAATTAAAAACTGGACTGTGCCATGTGAAACTGGCAAGCAGAGGTGAGGTAGAGGTTAATTCAGCGATATTTGTATTTAGCCCAGAGACGCTACTACACACACACACACACACACACATTCAGGCACTCACTTCTGAATCGCTTATTTTCTCTTTGCTGTTTGATGAAGAGGCGGAGCCTACGCAAAGACAAAGTCATGCCATTAGATAAAAACCAAGTGTAAAAATATCAACAGGAATAAAATGCCCATAAACTGATTATAAAGAATAATATATATTGATCAGTGATTGGGTCTATATGTACATGTCATTTTTCAAGCCGTCTTAAAGATTTTCCAAATCTTTACTTTCCAAATTTCTTTACTGTTAACAAGTACGTACAATTCATGTTTTCCATCTTCTCTTCATTTGTTTCATCAATTACATGTTTTATTTATTTTATCTTTATGTGATATGTTATTTATTACGTTACTACACTGTTGTAATTTTGATGGTTTATTGTGTACTTTTTTTTACTACTAAATTTACTACTACGATTATTATTACTTTTTTAGTAGTTGATATGTTTTCACTATCCAACCTCTCAATCTCTGATTTCTTTATTCGCTCGGCTACATTGTAAATAAGGATCTACTTTAATGTATTCCGAGTTTAAATAAAGGTTGTTTGATTGATTGATGTAATTTTCTAACTCCGTGCTCCAAATACCAATTTCCCAGTCATAGCTAATACTAGGCTCAAGCACAACAATATTTCTCTCAACTACAGTCAGTGAGGCTTCTGTCACAGTCTTTACACATTGTTTTGCTGCTAGCACTATTACGCTGCCTTGGCAGGGTAATATCTCCAGTCCTGAGACACATGATATTCAAATGCATACTTGAGATAGTTTTGCATCAATCTTGGTAAAATTTGCCAGCGTAAGAATCTACCATTGTAGGTGAAAACATCATAATTGACATGTTGGGCACAAAAGCTTGTTGCATCAGTAAGAAATGGAGGTTTTGGAAAGGGTCAATTAACCTATCCGTTCTCCAGCAACAATGAAATGCAGTCTTTCATAACAACTATTGTTAAGATTCACTGAAAATTGACCATAATGTCATTCAATCTAATTAAACACAACTCAGTTTTTGTCAAAACACCTACATTTAGAGTCTTATTATTTACCAATGATATTTATATAGCTCAGACTATCAGGGTAGATTGGATGTAGTTTTTATGTCATGTAATGGAGTTTATATTTGTGTGGTGGCAAATTCACTGTTCTATAATAGAATATAATATTATAGGTCAAGTCAATGCAGGGTAATGCCCCAAAAATGTGGCAAAATACAGTTATACATTTAAAAATGTACACATAATTAACTTAATCCACATCAAGTTGCATTGATGTTTGTGTTTGAATGAATGGAACCTTTTGCCTTGATGCATCTGCGAAACATCAGTACTAATCCTCCAATCAGCAGCAGCAGCAGAGCCACACAGACACACACAATGATGGTATTAGTGGAATCTGGAGATACACAACAGACAGAAAATACAGGGATTGATCACAGCACATATTCCCATAGACAAAACAATGACAAATACAAATCCTAATTGAAATTACTAATGGATTCTTAAGATGACTGTTTAATAGCAAACGTTTTCAAATTCAAATCTAGGAGGCCTCTGTGTTGTGTGGTGATTTCCCTGCTCAAAGACAGCGTCTAAACCTGCCGGTGAGAGTCTCCAGGGATGCTGTGCTTTAAAACCTCTTAGTGTTCCATCACATTCAGTGAAGTCTGACACATTTCTTAAAGTTTGGTTACTCAAATATATTCCAAGTCTATATAGCCATAAATAGCTGTTTTAGTGGTTAGCCTTGTCTCCTAGTGGCTAAAACATAGAAGTGCCATTGTCTATTACCACAATTTATTATATTACTGCAACACCGTTGATTTGAACAGAACTACTATTACTGAGCAAGCTCTCGGTTCAGCCAATTGCAGAAGGTAATTCACAACAGAACTAGACTTCTCAAACTTATGAACATTGCAGATTCGTACAGGAATTAATTGACAGATCTTGTTGGCAATCACTCAAACTACAGCATCTCCACAGTTAAAAATAATTCAGCTCAAATAGAACCTAAATATTCTGTGAAAAAGAATATGGACAGGACAATGAGCGGGTTTCCTTTTAACAATGTTAGAATGAATGAATGATTGAATGAATGAAAGAAAGAAAGAAAGAAAGACAATATGACGAAAATGAAAAAAAAATTCAAATATACAGATATAAACAATACAGATACACATTAAAGCAAACAGTGGAAGTATCTTATCAGACTGGCCTTTATCTGTTGTCCTACCTGGTGTCCCTGTGGTGGATTTCTCTTTTTGATCACGGTGATGATGGAGTTCATTGTGTCCAGTAGTGTATGCATGTCGACAAACATTCAAACAGTAAAAACATAAATCATGTTAAGGTCCACTGTAAACTAAAGTAGCAAAGCTCACACATCATTATCTTTCCTTTAAGATGCAGTCATAGACAGTGCATAATCATGTTATAAACTTGTCATAAGGGAATCCATAACTTATCATTAGAAATTATAACTTGCTATAATGTCTTCTTTTGCTAAGAAGGGATTGGAAATTCGAATGACTGATGTATCTGCCTCATCTGAATGGTCAGTTCAGTAATTACACAATTGTAAATGTGACTAGAGTAAAATAATTCACCCATTTTGTGACTTTTATGTGTTCTTGTAGATGAGGTTCTTTGCGAAGTACTGTTTCAGCTTGCTGTTCATTACCAAGTCAGTTGTTTTTCACTGGTTTTCCTAGTTTGTGATTTTCTCATTTACGACTTCTGCCAGACCCTTTGGACTTGATCATGTTCAGAGCTTTTTGCCTGCCTTTTTGACCTTGTCTATGTCTCACTTGTATATTCCTATTCGCCTGTGTTTAATACCTTTGACCTTTGTTTGACTTTAGCCTGTTTCTGGATTTCGTTCCTGGTTTGTTCCTCTATTAAATAATTTAACCAACAGCCAACTCTCCTTGGGTCTGATTCATCCTCACAGATTGATTGACTGATTGAGATCATTTCAAACAAACTATTCACAATACACTCCAAAAGAGGCAGTGCATATATTTAAAAACAGAAACAGTCAGGGGGAACACAAAAAAGTCTGAAGACATATTTCCATTGTTGCAAGCTATCAAACATTTTAAGACTTAGTGGCATCCAGATCCACAAGGGTGCTGCTGCTTACCTAAATGTGTCCCTACCCACTTTATTTTGAAAAAACCTGTGGACTTTGTTCTGGTAGAATAACTGTAAACATCCTTCACCTGAGTAAAATCATTTGTAAGATACTGAGGAACAGCACCATGTTCAATCTTGTATACATTACATAACTCTATCAAGGCGACTCTCTCCTGAACGTTTAACTATCCGAGTATTTCATAATGAGAGTGTTCCAGGTGAGTTCTCTTAGAAAGGTGTAAAATATCCCTCACTAATTTGTTTTAAAAGGGTTTAAACCTATTTTTATTGTATTTACAAATACCATCATACCAGGAATGACAAACATGATCAAAAAAAATAAAATAAAAAGGCTGAACCAAAACTCCCACCAAGGTAACTGTTGTTTTTCTATCCAAAAACTTGAAAATTCTGGTGAGAAAAGAAATTTTTGTCAAAAACGTATCTGCCTGACAACCCCCTCCCCCAACCTCCGACATATAACTGTACAACATATATCCTAAATAATTAACTGACTTCTTAGCTTCTAGTACAATATCCACAACAACTACCTTAAAACCTAAGATTTTTGTCATTTTATCTTAGAATAGATTCTGTTTTCCCCGAATGAAGTGACAACCTGTTCTCAGACATCGACCTACTAACATCCGTAAGTGTCTTTTATGGGAAAATGAAATTGCAGAATCATCTGCTTACAGAAGAAGTTCACATGAGCATATTGATTTTAAAACGAAAAACAGTGGCCCTAAAATGCTTCCTTGGGGAACCCCGAGCTCCTAATAAAATCAGTTAAATACAGTAAACACGTATCAGTGAGATTTTCTAAAACCAAATTTAAAATAATATATAAGATTTTGATCAGTCAAATAAAATGAATTTGTTCAAAGATTATCTTTGATTAGGTAGTCAAAATATATACAGGTCTATAGTTTCGTTCATTTAATTTACTACCCTATTTATAAAAAGGAATCACCCTTGCAACCTTGAACTGATTTGAAAAATATCCATACTGAACTGACAAATTTATAGTTTGCATAATGCATGGGGTCATTACCTCTGCAGCAAGTACAGTTTGTTTTATTAAAAGAGAAAACATACATTTCTAATTGAACAGATCTCATTATATAGTTCAACTCAAACTTTAATTGCCAGTTTAATTGCCTTCTATGTGGCACAAAGTGTGTACTGGTGATGTTAATGGCTAAACAAATTTGTATATAATCTCACTGAAAGATATTTATCAACGTCATGTATTGTATTGTCACTTGATCTTATTTAAAACTGAGCTACATGCTAACACCCTCACAAGAACTGTTAAGCAATAAATCTTCCAAGAACCAACAAATCTTGCCATGATCGAAATGGGAGATGCTGAATTGAGGAGATGAATTATCACATACCTGCAATATTAGTAAGCTTTAACTTCAAAAGATGTCATTAATGATGATGTCAGGTCCAAGAGGACTTGCTTTACTTTAATTATAGGAGTAATGTCATTTATGAGTCATGTGTCTAGCAGAGAGTGTTAAAACAGATTAAACAGGAATTCCACTAACTTGTCAGGATTTCTGAATAATTCAGTGGTTAAGATGTAAACAGAGTCTTGCAGGGTGGTGTGATGTAATCGCTAATTGTAGAGAAAATTAAAGACTCTAATGGAACGTTAATGGTGGTAAAATAGTAGTAAATCTGAAATCAGTAAGTTTTTTTAGGGACTTTTTTGTTTTTTAGGACCCTGAATGTACCTTTTTTTTACCATGAATGGTTAAAAATATATATATATGTTTTAGATCAAAACCTTCTCAAAACTATCATAAAACAATGTCTCAGACATCAGGCAGTGTAGTTATAACTTTCTGTGATGGAGCTTTTAGAGGTGGACGTCTGGTTCCTATCACCACCACTCTGAACAATTCTAACTCCATTAGTTTCTCACTTCATGCCAAACTACTCTGAATGACTGTTTACATCTTATTGATTTAGTTTTATAAACATTTTGAAAAAGCAGTGGAATTCCCCTTAAAAGAGGTCCTTCATAAGTCATGTGTCTGTCATATAGTGTTCAGATAAGGTAAAAAGTGGTTGCTTTACTTTGTGAGGTGCACGAAGAAACAATACATAAGCAGATGCTGCGTTGGAGGTAAGCAAAACAGCAACAGTAACACAGCCTTTTTTACGTCATCCCAGCACAATACTACATAACCTTAAAAGAACAGCTACTGGGTATGCTGGAGAATGAATTGTGCTGTGTGCTTCTTATTACAACCGTATAGACAAATATAATTGTTGAGTTGCGTTTGTTTAAGTGGCTGAAGATTATTTATACTAAATAGAGTTGCTTTACTTGGCCTATAAAAAATGACACTGAATAATCATGTGTCTGTAAAAGGTAACCGATGAGCTGTTTATTAGAAATAAGGTCATTAATGTGCCTTTTATCTGTTGAGTATTAAGATTAGGTAAATCTTATCTTAACTGTATCAAGGACACACTGTGATTGATTTGAGGTTCTACTCTTCCATAAGAGGAGTTTTTTGCCAGCTTAGTTATAGTTAATCTGATATGGTTACTTTGAACTAATATTTCCCATATTAATAAACAGCTTCCTGAACAGTTTGACTGGCAGTGATGCCAATTTTGTGCTCATGACTCACATTTCCATTGTGTAAAACATGAGTGAACTGGCTATGAGGTAGTTTAATGAAGTGATTCAGTCTAAACAACATAAGTATGATGTAATAAATACGTAATATCTATAAAAGAGTATTCTAAATATTCACTGTTTACAGTATTACATATGACAGTTGTTGATAATAGTAAAAGCTGGTAAAAACAGCATATGGAATCTTTGCAAACAACTGCTAATGCAACATCATTAGACAGCTGAACGCACTTGGAGGAAGGCGCCAATCACCAGTTCTGTTATGTCAGCTTACAGACACCTATGCTATTTAGCATTGTGCTGAGTGATCAGGGGCATTCTACCCACCCAGAGGGAGCAAGGCCAATGAGAAGATGCCAGTAGAGTTCTCTTAGGAAGGTTTAAAATATCCCTCACTAATTTGTTTTGAGAGGTTTGTAGCCTATTTTTAATGTACTTGGGAATACCATCATACCACAAAAGACAAGCATAATCAAAATAAGGCTGAACCAAAACTCCCACAAAGGTAACCATTTTTTTCCTGTCCAAAAATGTTTAAATTCTGGTGAGAAAATGAATAATTTGATTAACCGTAGTCAAAACCTTATCTGCCTGACATCCCCCCAGCATATAACTGGCTGATATACGTCCTAAATAATTAACTGAATTCTTAACATCTAAAATAGTATCCCCAACAACTACATTGCAACCTAAGGATTTTTGTAATTTTATCCTTCTGTTTCCCCCAAATGAAGTGACACCCTCTCCTCAGACATCCACCTGCTAACTTTTGTAAGTTCTTCACTGAATATATGTTCTATGATACTCTTGCCTTTATGGGAAATTGAAATTGCAGAATCATCCGTCTACAGAAAAAGTTCACGTGAGCATATTGATTTCAAAAGGAAAAAACAGTGGCCCTAAAATGCTTCCTTGAGGGACCCCACAACTCATATATCTAGGCAATGCCACCTGTTGTTTCCATCCTTTCAAATATAAAGCAACCCATTTGACAGCAAGATCATTAAACCGTGTAGCAAAATATTGTGGTCAACAGTATCAAAAGTTTTCTGCAGATTCAGGATTAGCATACCACACAGGTTCCCTTTATCTATTTTGCTCTTAATAAAATTACTTAAACATCAGTAGAGCAAGATTTTCTAAAACCAGATTAAAATTTTATAATTTTATACGATATGAAGGTTATGATACTACATAACCTAAAAAGAACAGCTACTGGGTATGCTGAATTGTTGAGATGTGTTTGTTTTCGTTGCTGAAGATTAGTGAGGTTGAATAGGGTTGCTTTACTTTGACTATAGAAAAATGACTGACTAATCTTGTGTCTGTAAAAGGAAACAGTATACAGCATAAAGAATAGGTAAATCTTATTTTAACTATAACAAGGACACACTGTGTGATTGATTTAAAGCCTTCCCCTCCTGTAGGGTGGAGTCCTTCTGCCAGCTTAATTATGGTTAATCTGATATGGTTACTTTGAACTAATATTTTCCATATGAGTAAACAGCTTCCTGGACGGTTTGACTAGGACTGTTGCAATCTGAGTGCTAATGACTCACATTTCCAGCCTGCAAAACATGAGAGAATTGGCTACGAGGAAGTTTAATGAGGTAAGTCACGTCTAGTAACATTCGTAGAAAATGATGTAATGAATGCGTAATATCTATAAAAGGATATTCCAAGTATTCACTGGTTGCAATACTACATATGTACATATGACAGTTGTTGATAATAGTAAAAGATTGTAAAACCGTGCATATGGCATAGACTGACGTTGTCAAATGTAATTGCTATGTCTGATGATAATTACATGACTTATCTTTTAACATATATCTTTAAATATAAACTGTCAATGATGTTTGTTAATTTATGTGACCTCTGTTTTTTGAGATTATGGCTGAAATAGTTGGGTGAAAATGATCTATAGACCACGGCTTTTAACGAACCGCTCCTGATGAAACTGCACGGACTCAAACTAGAACTAGTTACAGACATTGTCACCTGCCTCACAACACACTAAGCTCTTCACATATTCTTGCTGACAGATCATCATCATAGGCTTCTAACAGTCGTTATTGATGTTCATGGATTTAACTCTCATTTTTACTGTGATACGCTCTGAATAGAATCACTGTTTTCCAAAAAATTATTTGTAATTAGTTTCTCTAATAGGCCTCTAAGAGTAGTTATTGGCTATCATTGGTTAATCTACTTTTGTCCAATGACAGGCTTTTTTTTTTGTGTAATGTAACTGAGTCACACTTTGCTCTCTTCCTTTATTCATAGAGCTCATATGTTATTGTTTTCTATCTGGTGTCGACCAGAGGAGAATAGTTTCCTCTTTTGAGTTTTGGTTCCTCTCAAGGCTTCTTTCTCTTGCTCTTGGAGATTTTCTTGCCTCTGTTACCCTTAACTACACTTGTTAGGGCTCGGACTCAGATTCTCTGTAAAGCTGCTTTGTGACAAAGCCTGTTGTAAAAAGCACTATATAAGTAAACTTGACTGTTCAAAAGTTCAAAACTAGTTAATTCTAACAGATATTTTGGCACAACATGGGTAGTTTGAGGCTACAGCTGAGTAACAGTATAGAAAGATGAGGAAATCTCTGACGAAAGCCTAGTGCTTCAGATGCAGCAGACTGAGGTTTGATTCCCCGTCTATCCAAGCACTCTATATTAAAAGAGTCCTTAGGCAAGACTCCTAATGCTACATTCCCCTACATGTGTAACATTATTGATGATGTGAATGACATATTAATGAAAAGGTATGCAATTTGACAAGAATATATATAATCCTTTGAGTTAGTGTTTCTCTCACTCAAGTTGAATGTTTCTCTGTTGAAACACATTGAAATACACAGAGGCCGTGTACAGGAAGGGCATGAGCAGCCTCTACTTTCTGAGAAGGCTCAGGTCATTTAATATGTGCACCAAGACATTGGCGATCTACCAGTCTGTTATTGCGGGTGCTGTCTTCTTTGCAGCAGTCTGCTGGGGAGGCAGCATCAGAGAGGGAGTTGCAAAAAAGCTCAACAAACTGATGAAGAAGGCTGGCTCTGTCTTGGGATGCTTATTGCATGGTTTTGAGATGGTGGTTGAAAGGAAGTCACTTAATAAACTCACTGCTAGCCTGAACAGTACATCACAACCCCTCTATTACCTACTCGTCAGACAGCAGAGCTCATTCAGCTCCGCTGTAGCAAGGAACGGTACAGGAGATCGTTTGTACCAACAGTGATCGCAGTGTACAACACCTCATCGCTGTGCCGGGATGTTACTGTATACTGAGCCATTCGTTTATTTTGTTTATCATATCTCATATTGCACTGTCACTTTGTTTATGAATCCATAAATGTCAAATTGTTAAATGTAAACTGTACAACTATTAACATTTATTGCTACTGTCCATAGTCAGTAGCTCATTCTCTGGAGGGACAGGCACCACCGCATTGTCTCCTGCATAGTATTCATGCAACTACTTTGTATTTTTGTACTGCACATTATTTTATTGTTATTGTTTTAGTATATTTTATTTTATTGTATTATTTCTCTCTACTTTTATTAATATATCTGTATATAGTGTATGATGATGCTTTGCTCCTGTTCATTTTGCTCTTGTTTTGCTCTTTACTGAACTTTGTACGGCTGCAATAGAAGAATTTCCCTATGGGATTGATAAAGTGATTATCTATCTATCCATCTATCTATCTATCTATCTATCTATCTATCTTTACAACAGTGAGTACTAATATTTTGATTTATTTTCAATTTTCTATCATATAAAGTCATCATTAGCATTTAGCATTTACCCTGACAATGCTTTGCCAATTTTCTTTTAACATGTCAAAATTAATCTAGGTCTAATTTTATGATTTCAGGCCAGTAGGACAAGACATTTAAAAAAACATATATTAGTATCCCATGCTAACAAACTCATATAATACCTTAAACAGAGCAAACAAAAAGGTGTTGAGCCAAGAGTGATAGAAAAAAGCTCTTAAACGAAGTTTTCTTTGTGCCTGATACACCACAGGACTTGACGCTGATGATAAATAGCCTTTTAGTTCATAATTGTGGCGTCAGAGCATGGCTGGTTCTATTTACTTCAACAGATGTTTTAACACATTGGTTTTAGGTTGTGTGTTCCATAGCAATCGTTTCATTGGGACTCTTATCCTGGAGGGTGGGGCTAGGAACCGCCTAGGCTGTGTGTGTGAACTGCGCAGAGAGGGTAAGCTTGCAGTAAGGGACCTGAGCTGAGGCTGAAAGCGTATTTACGTTCTTGTGCTGCTCAGGTTCAAAATATGCGTTATTGGTACAAACTTTAACTTGTCTATGCTTCTTATGAGAACCCAACGCGCCACAATATAAAGCTATTTCTCACAACAAAATTCAAAATGAAACAGACAGTTTCTTTTTAAGTTTTAAGGAAGAGTAAATAAATTAGTACATTGTATGTAGAGCAACTGTTTCTTTGCAGCTCTTCCGATTCAAACAGTGATAATAGAATAAAGAATCTCACCAGTGACCTGTAGCTGAGTCTCTGTGTAGAGGGAGTAATAACTGACTGAGTCTCCTCCACTCAACACTGCACAGTAATAAACTCCTCCATCATCTTCTCTCACATCACTGATTCTCACACTGACAACTTTAGAGCTTCTGTCATCAGAGATGGAGAATCTGCCTCTCTGAGTCTCTGTGGTGTCGATCATTGTAGGAATACGATGACCATCAAGTTTGTAGAAGTACTTGCTGTGTCTCTCAAACTGCTCTGGATATGAACAGCTGATGGTGAAAGTCTCTCCCAGATGACCAAACACAGTCCTTGGTCCCAAACAACATGGATCTGTTAATCATATAAAGTAATAAATGTACTTATTTGTTTTGTCAGCTCTTCAAAATCATGACTGCAGAAAGGAAAAACAAAGAATTATGTACAGTATGTGAATGTTAATTTGGTAAAATAACTGGTTTTGATAGCAAATTCACTCCTCCAAAAATGACAAAACCATGGTTGTGTATGTCTACTGAAATTTATTGACTCAAATCATTTAATTAAAGCTGTTGTTTTTCCCTTAAATATATTTCACAATTTCTCTAGTATTTAAGCAACAGCTCAGTTTGGAATAATGACTAAACATTTTAAATGTTAAATGTATTAATTTTAAGTGGTAGTTCCTTATAAACAAACAGAGTCTAAAGGTTCTCACCTCTGATCACTTGGAGGTTAAACTGATGACTCCACCTCCCAACCTCTCCACACTGATATGTTCCAGCATCCTCTGAGCTCAGCTGTCTGATGGTCACTGTGAGGGCTCTGGAACAGTCATTAATTATATCAAATCTGTCTTTCTGAATCCATGTGTTACACTGTTCATACTTAATAACTGTAATATATTCACACTCAGTTTGTGTTTTCATTTTGCATATATGTGTCTTTGCCCTTCCATAGTCATCGTAGTTACAGGAGATTGTAACTCTTCCTCCTGGAAAGCCGATCACATCAATACCGGCCGCTCCACCTGTCAATGACATTCAACATTTCACTGACCTCTCTGATCTTATTAAGAACAACTACACACAGCTCCTCATCCATCATGTAAAATCTGAATCTAACTCTGATCAATATGACCTGTAATAGTTTCTGTTCTGTAGTTTAGCAGTCTGTTGTTTCTACTTTATTCTGAAGCAGTGAATCTGACCTGAGATCAGGTGGAGGATGAAGATGAGGAGAATCTTCATTCTGGTCTAAACTTCAGTCTCAGTGATGTTCATATAAACTCCAGTCCACCGTTCTCCAAGGTCAGTCCTGTACTGTTCATAGGGAAACGGCTCCTTTCAGTGTGACACGAAAACACTTATTATATGTATTTGTGTCTGTGGCTGGTTTCCTGTTTCTTTAAAATGTATCTGATACTCAGCTTCACAGCTCCTCCCACCAACAACACTAACGAGCTTCACAGCTCCTCCCACCATCATCACTAACCAGCTTCACAGCTCCTCCCACCATCATCACTAACCAGCTTCACAGCTCCTCCCACCAAAATCATTAACCAGCTCCTCCTATCAGCATCAACCAGCTTCACAGCTCCTCCCAACAACATCACTAACCAGCTTCACAGCTCCTACCACCAACAACACTAACCAGCTTCACAGCTCCTCCCACCATCATCACTAACCAGCCTCACAGCTCCTCCCACCATCATCACTAACCAGCCTCACAGCTCCTCCCACCACCATCACTAACCAGCTTCACAGCTCCTTCCACCATCATCACTAACCAGCTTCACAGCTCCTCCCAACAACATCACTAACCAGCCTCACAGCTCCTCCCACCATCATCACTAACCAGCCTCACAGCTCCTCCCACCACCATCACTAACCAGCTTCACAGCTCCTTCCACCATCATCACTAACCAGCTTCACAGCTCCTCCCAACAACATCACTAACCAGCTTCACAGCTCCTCCCACAATCATCACTAACCAGCTTCACAGCTCCTCCCACCATCATCACTAACCAGCTTCACAGCTCCTCCCACAATCATCACTAACCAGCTTCACAGCTCCTCCCACCATCATCACTAACCAGCTTCACAGCTCCTCCCACAATCATCACTAACCAGCTTCACAGCTCCTCCCACCATCATCACTAACCAGCTTCACAGCTCCTCCCACCAGCATCACTAACCAGCTTCACAGCTCCTCCCACCAACAACACTAACCAGCTTCACAGCTCCTCCCAACAACATCACTAACCAGCTTCACAGCTCCTCCCACCAACAACACCAACCAGCTTCACAGCTCCTTCCACCAACAACACTAACCAGCTTCACAGCTCCTCCCACCATCATCACTAACCAGCTTCACAGCTCCTCCCACCATCATCACTAACCAGCCTCACAGCTCCTCCCACCACCATCACTAACCAGCTTCACAGCTCCTTCCACCATCATCACTAACCAGCTTCACAGCTCCTCCCACCATCATCACTAACCAGCTTCACAGCTCCTCCCACCATCATCACTAACCAGCCTCACAGCTCCTCCCACCACCATCACTAACCAGCTTCACAGCTCCTCCCACCACCATCACTAACCAGCTTCACAGCTCCTCCCACCATCATCACTAACCAGCTTCACAGCTCCTCCCACCAGCATCACTAAGCAGCTCCACAGCTCCTCCCACCATCATCACTAACCAGCCTCACAGCTCCTCCCACCACCATCACTAACCAGCTTCACAGCTCCTCCCACCATCATCACTAACCAGCCTCACAGCTCCTCCCACCACCATCACTAACCAGCTTCACAGCTCCTTCCACCATCATCACTAACCAGCTTCACAGCTCCTCCCACCATCATCACTAACCAGCTTCACAGCTCCTCCCACCACCATCACTAACCAGCTTCACAGCTCCTTCCACCATCATCACTAACCAGCTTCACAGATCCTCCCAACAACATCACTAACCAGCTTCACAGCTCCTGCCACCACCATCACTAACCAGCTTCACAGCTCCTCCCACCAACCACACTAACCAGCTTCACAGCTCCTCCCACCAGCATCACTAACCAGCTTCACAGCTCCTCCCACCATAATCACTAACCAGCTTCACAGCTCCTCCCACCAGCATCACTAACCAGCTTCACAGCTCCTCCCACCAGCATCACTAACCAGCTTCACAGCTCCTCCTGCCAGCATCACTAACCAGCTTCACAGCTCCTCCCACCATCATCACTAACCAGCTTCACAGCTCCTCCCACCAGCATCACTAACCAGCTTCACAGCTCCTCCCACCATAATCACTAACCAGCTTCACAGCTCCTCCCACCAGCATCACTAACCAGCTTCACAGCTCCTCCCACCAGCATCACTAACCAGCTTCACAGCTCCTCCTACCACCATCACTAACCAGCTTCACAGCTCCTCCCACCAACATCACTAACCAGCTTCACAGCTCCTCCCACCAACATCAACCAGCTTCACAGCTCCTCCCACGATCATCACTAACCAGCTTCATAGCTCCTCCCACCATCATCACTAACCAGCTTCACAGCTCCTCCCACCATCACCACTAACCAGCTTCACAGCTCCTCCCACGATCATCACTAACCAGCTTCACAGCTCCTCCCACCAGAATCACTAACCAGCTTCACAGCTCCTCCCACCAACATCAACCAGCTTCACAGCTCCTCCCACCAGAATCACTAACCAGCTCCTCCCATCAACATCACTAACCAGCTCCACAGCTCCTCCCACCAACATCACTGACAAGCTTCACAGCTCCTCCCAACAACACTAACCAGCTTCACAGCTCCTTCCACCAGAATCACTAACCAGCTTCACAGCTCCTCCCACCAACATCAACCAGCTTCACAGCTCCTCCCACCAGAATCACTAACCAGCTCCTCCCAACAACAACACTAACCAGCTTCACAGCTGCTCCCACCATCATCACTAACCAGCTTCACAGCTCCTCCCACCATCATCACTAACCAGCCTCACAGCTCCTCCCAACAACCATACTAACCAGCTTCACAGCTGCTCCCACCATCATCACTAACCAGCTTCACAGCTCCTCCCACCATCACTAACCAGCTTCACAGCTCCTCCCAACAACAACACTAACCAGCTTCACAGCTCCTCCCACCAACATCACTAACCAGCTTCAAAGCTCCTCCCACCATCATCACTAACCAGCTTCAAAGCTGCTCCCACCAACCACACTAACCAGCTTCACACCTCCTCCCACCAACATCATTAACCAGCTCCTCCTATCAACATCAACCAGCTTCACAGCTCCTCCCACCAACATCACTAACCAGCTTCACAGCTCCTCCCACCAACATCACTAACCAGCTTCACAGCTCCTCCCACCAGCAACAGTAACAAGTTTACAGCTCCTCCCTCCAGCATCACTAACCAACTTCATAGCTCCTCCCACCAACAACACTAACCAGCTTCACAGCTCCTCCCACCATCACTAACCAAACACCAAGGCCCAATCCCATTTCACCCCTCGCCCCTACAACTCAGCCCTTAGCCCTCTGTTTTGTGCGTTCTCATCTAGGGGTAAGGTGTCCTGATTCTTGTTGAGATAGAGGGGTAGGGCGAAGTGTTACAGAGGTTTTGCAGAGACTCCAAACAGAGTGATATGAGAAAAAAAGAAAAACTGGCAAGATGGCTGAACAAGAGACCAAAGATATTATAACAGAGAATTGTCTCTGTTAAAAAATGATGATAACCATTGTATTATCTTAGTTTAATGTGGTTTCAATGTATTATGATCCTTTTTTTCATAACAAGCATAAAAAATCGCTAACAGTATGCTAATGTCTCGGTAGCTAGCTAGCTAACTTTCCCGTTCCACCTTAAATAGTCCAGGAGTTCTGAAGCCTGAAGCACCAGAATGTAGCTGCTGCACCATTTAAGGTGGAACGGGAAAATTTTAAAGAGAAGCTGGCAAAAAAAATGACTTCAGCTTTATACAACCAAAGAATTAGGGTGTGGGTGATAATGAACCATTTTCACATCCCCACTCTTTGAAGGCATATGATGTCCTGAATGTAACTAAAGCCCAGCAGTGAGGAGCTGAACTTTACCCTCCTCTGCTGTCACTGCAGACTGGCAGGGTCACCTACAGAGCAGCGCTGGTAGCTGTTAGTGAAATAATGCTCTTTTTATTTGAGGGTCTCATTTCAGAGGGAAGATTTCAACCACTACCCCTTATAACTCAGTTCCAAGGGGCAAGGAGACACTCGAAAACAAGGGTAGGGGTAAAAATAAGAAATTAAATTGGGCCCAAGTTTAACAGAGAAATAAAGGGTAAATGTTGGTGGGCGGCTTATAGTCTTACTCTTACTCTTACTCACCGATGTAACCAGCCTATGGGATCATCCTCCTACAATAAAGATGTGTCACACATGAATACCGAAAATATTTGACTATGATGAAATCTACCTACACTGTGCTTATACAGTGAATTCAGTACAGTAAACCGAGTCTGTATGAGAACACTACAATAGTTTTCTTAATCTTCACCTTTACTTCTGTGTACTGTTCAGTAAACTGTGATGTGTCCATTTCACACTTTCAGACGTCCTTTGATATCTGTAATGAATGATTATGATCACTTTTTTGTCAGATTTTATAGGTTTTTGAGTTTTATACTACTATTACAAAATATTTGTTGTTTTTCTGATTAAAATTGCTTCTGGTGGGTCATCCTGTGTGCAATTAGACCCTTTCAAATGATCCAGAATGCATCTGTTTGGCTTCTGTCCTCTCAGGTTGTTGTAGCTGCCTGTGTTAGATTTAAACTAGTAAAATCCTGATGCCTGCCTACAACTGAAGTAACTCCACCACCTAAAGGAAATGATGAAGTACAACAAAACATTTCAAGTCCTTTGAGCCTCAGGAACAGCTCTGCTCAACCTTCCACCTCTTATAGTCTGAATAATGATTCTGGTTCATTTGCTCCTCAACAGTTTAGAACAAACTCTAAATATGCCATAAAGCTAAAACACAAGCAGAAACAGACTCAGTGCTGATTTATAAATATATAAAAATCCTGGGGGTGGATCAACAGTTATGTGATGCAAGTCTGATCAATGTCGACTTTGTTGCTGTCATGTGTAAAAAAAATTGATTACAGACCCTGATATGTATATATATATATATATATATATATATATATATAAGAGCTCCCTCATCTCAGAATCATCTCACTCTCTCAGCTCTGAATCTAAACAACAGCAACATTTCATAAATACAGTAAAAACTGTGACCTGTTAGGGGAAAAAAAACATTTCTGTAGTATATTTTGAGGTAGAATATCTGACCTGAGATTAGGAAGATCGTGAAGATGAGGAGGATCTTCAGCTTCACTGATGATCTTCAGTCTGTTATGGTTGAACATCTGACTGTTTTCTTTCTTTCTCCTAAGAGTGATTTCATTCTCAGGGTGTGTCACATTCATATTTCGTGTGTCTCTGCCTCCAGACCTGCTCCAGGTTCCTCTTTCTGTAGAAAACATAAGAGACGTTCAACCTCACAGCTCCTCCCGTCACTTACGACATACTAAATCTTATCTCCTGAACCAGCTGAATTGCCTCATTCTGCTCTCTCTCTCTCTCTCTCTCTCTCTCTCTCTCTCTCTCGTCACACTGTGGTTGTTTCTGTAAAACCTTTTTCTGCTCTGTGGTTGTTGATGATGGAGAAAATCATGCAATGTGTTGTGAAAGACTTTGTCACCCTACCAGACATACTGTAGTGACCCACTACTGGCTGCTCATGGTGGAATCATGGCCTCCCCAATGTTTTACTCTACAGCAGCACTAACATATAACACTTTATATTAAGGATTACACATTAAAGATTATGTTGATAATAAACCATTTACTACTCATCAATCACACATTAATTTAGTGTTCATTAAATATTGGTTATCGCTTGGATAGGCTCCAGCGCCCCTCACCACCCAGAATGATAAGCAGCTTAGAGTGTGTGTGTGTGTGTGGGGGGTGTTTACTTAGTAATCGATTATATACTTAGCAATTAACATTATTATTGACTAACCTTTTAAACGATAGTTTAATTTATGTTAATAATTTAGTAGTATTAGTTTTATTGCTCAGAAACTGTGTACAAACTACAGCTTATTACACTGCTAATAAATGATGTGTGTTTTGTTTATAAATAAGTAGCGAGAAGTTATAATTTAATTATTTATTAACTAATCTACTAAATTTTTCCTCAACCTTGTGCACACATAACTTAGTACTTAATTACTAACTATAAATTGGTAGTTTACTTAACAGATAATTAATAAGACTAACTCATATTGACTAGCTAGTTATCATGTTACTTATTTATATGAATAAACAAACTAATCTGTTTATTAGCAGTGTAATAAGCAGCAGTTAGTACACAGTTAATGAGTGAATAAGATATAAACTAATAAAGTAAATGATCAGTTGAGTACATAATAACTAAATAATCATTAATGCTAAATAAAAAAATGACTAACGTACAAAAGAAATAATTATTTAATTACTTTTAACTGTTTAATTATAAATCAATTTGTGACCTTTAATGTAAATTGTTACTCGCATTTACAGCAGGTCCTTCACTCATTGTGTGATTGTGGGTGGTCTGCCCTGTTGTCCCAGCTGTTTAAAGTGCTGATTCTGTGTCTTAATCTACACTGAAGCCTCATTAGCATCAGAGGTGGGATGGCACCCCCCAGTGGTCTGGAGAGGAGTTGCACTTCCACTAACTCAAAGGCCACTGGCAGGAAGGACTGAGCCCAGCTGAGGACTGCAGAAAAAGAAGCAGCTTGGTGAAGATGGGTGGAGACAGCAGAAGAAACAACAAGGCAAGAACTAGCAGCTGAGCCTGGTGGGGTATGAAAGAGACACTGGTGAGGACCTGCCAGCGTAGTGGTGTGGCAGCCTGGCAGTGTTGGCTCAGCCCTAGAGTGACGTTTGAGCTGGCAGAAGAGCTGAGAGGATCAGATGACACAAACAACATGTATACGCAACTTAAACTAACACACAGCAACATTATCAAAACAACAGGTCCTTTTGATGGAGGGCAGGTGCATAACAAAAGCATTTCTTCCGAGCCACACCTTGAGATTCTCTTGGTGCCAGCACCAGCCAGTAGCAGGATGCTACATTATCTTTCAGCATTCACAGATGTGCATGTTACCCATGCCATGGGCACTAATACAGCCCCACATACAATGACAGGTCCTGGGTTTTGAACTTCATGTTTGTCACAATATAGATGTTCCTTTTATTCTTTGGCCCAGAGAACAAAATTTCCATTATTTTTATAAACAATCTGTACTGTTGACTCATTAGACTAAAGACACATTTCCAGTGTAGTCCATTTCAGATGACTTTGAACCCAGAGAAGTCGGTGGTGTTTCTTGACATTGTTAACACATGGATTGTACAGTCTTGACTTGCATTTGTAGATGCAGCAATGAACAATGTTTATCGAGAGTGGTTTGTCAAAAATATTCCTGAGCCCGTGTAATGATATCCATCATAAAAGCATGCTGTGTTTTTTAATACAGTGCTATCTGAGGGATCACAGTTTTGGTTTTTGACCTTGACCTTTACACAGAGAAATCTTTGGATTTTCTTAATCTTTTGATTATATTGAGTGGGAAAAAAAACTAAAATATTTGCAACCACTCATTTAGGATCATTGTTCTTAAAATGCAGGATTGTTTTGCTTGTATTTTTTGGCAAAGTGATGATCCTTGACCCATCATTGCAGAAAAGGAAATAGATACTCTTCCTGTATCCACCTTTACTCTGCAAACATGCTTGTAATCAAATATGTCATGTTGTTCAAAGTTAAATTGTCACATCTCAACTTTTTTGGCATGTGTTTCAAATGTGACAGGGTTAAAATGTCTGTTTTTATGTTGTTGTTGAAGTTGGATAATCGTTGAACTCCCTTATACATGTCTGATAAATGTTGCATATACTTTTATACGCAAGTTTGAGGACCCTGGACAAATGACATAATCTGTTGATTATTGTAGTGAACACAACTTCAACAGCAAGCTGGTTTTAAAAAAAATGTGGAAGTACTTGAGGCATGTGCAAAAGTTTGGACGCTATAAGTTCTGTACTCAGTTACACTCCTTTTGACAGATTTCACGGCATATATATGCTTTATGTGCCGCTAGGAGTCTTCATATTCTTCTTTAAGGAATTTTCACCCACTGCTCCTTACAGGAAATAAAAAAGTAGAAGTTGATCAGGTAAAACAGGTCCTGTTTTAAATACAGGTCAAATTAGATTTGCAAATCACTGCTGTATGTTTTACTTGCATTTAAACTGTCCAAACATTTTGGCATTGAGGTTTGAACTTTTCGATTCCAGCACAAGTGCCATAAACAGTTTAAAATTTACTGTAAACCAAATAATCTGATCCAGCATATAAACGAAATTGATAATATCCTTTTAGAGGGGGTGGTATTAACACTGGTTTCAGTGCTTTTCTTGACAGTTTTTAATGTATTTTCTTTTTAAGTGTTTGAGTCATGGAAATTTCACTGAAACAGCAGTTTGATATGAATGCAGAAAGAACGGTTTTCTAAAGAGAACTTACTATCCAGAAAATTTTAAAGGGAACAAATACAAGATACAGTTTCAGTTTTCTTTATTGAACTGACAATAAGATTAAATGACAATATATTGAGATCCAAATGAGAACAGCTCATATAAGCTCAACCATATAAAATACATTCAGATATAAAAAAGCTAACTATTCACCACGGAGACAGAACTTACTGCTGAAAAATAATATTTAGAACACTCCAGCATCCGACTGATGTTTCTTTCAAATACATATATTTATTAAACACCTGGTTTTATTCAAAGTGACTTAAACAACAGTAAGAGAGTAAACAGTGCAGTAAATAAAACCACATCATGACATCATGTAAGGACTGAAATGTAATTTAGATTACATTACAATAATTCAGATTAATAATAAAATAAACCTGTTCTGTAAGTTCACCAAAAATTCCTGAGAGCAATAATTTAATACGTAATGAATTTAATACAAACATTGTGTTTACAGAACTACAGTTGAGTTCAACAGGTTTCTTCTGATTTCCACATGTGGATCTGAGTAGAAAGCCAGAGTGAGAAGATGTGTGATGTTTCTGTCATGATCAACACAAAATAGAACTGCCATCTATTGCTGCATTGCTTTGGGATTGAGGGGTTTGTACAGCTGAATTTGGGTTTAGCTCTGAAAGTGCTGGCATTTCAGCTTTGATAGACTTAATCTGACTGGTTTGTGTTAGAGTCTAGACCAGCGGAGTCCAGTCTAAATCTATGAAGTAGAAGCATACATGATCAGTTGATTGAAGACTGAAACCAACTGACTAAGTTGAATCAGGTGAACTCCAGATTATTTGAAATGAAAACTTGCAGCTACACCAGCCAGGATAAGATTAGACACGCCTGGCCTACACTTTGATAATAACTTATTATTTGGTTTTAAAAGTTGAGGTTCTGATAGGCTGAATCGGATTGGGTGTTGTTGGGGCTTAGACTCTGGTAAACTGAATCTGATTGGGTGGTGTTGGGGCTTAGACTCTGGTAAACTGAATCTGATTGGGTGGTGTTTGGGTGTAGACTCTGGTAGGCTGAATCTGATTGGTTGGTTTTTGGGTCCAGGGTCTGGTAGATTGGACCCATGCTGATATTATTCTGGTTTCCACATGGATCATTTTCATAATCAGCATCAGCCTGAAACCAGAGTAAAGAACACACAGTAGAAAATAACTCAGTAGTCTTTACATCACATTCATCACATCCCAACTCTGGCCCTGAAGATCTACTGCTGTGGAGATTTTAGTTTAAACACACCTGGATCTAATATTTAGACACTCCTGAAGTCGATCATTAACTGGATCAGGTGCGTTAGATTAAGGCTGTAACTAAACTCTCCAGAACAGGGTTGGACACCCCGCATTACACCTAGAGATTACACTCTGTAGCCATTTCATCACTTACTCTGTTGAGTGTTCTTGTCTGATTGTTTGTAGAAACAGATCCTGCACAACAAGAGAAGATGTTAAAGAAAAAGCTGTGTTCCACAAGAAGCTGAGGAGATCTTTAATAACTGGGATCTAATTTAAGCATCTATTAAAGTATTACATTCCTACACAAACTACTTTTATGATCACAGGTTGGTTTCCCAGACTGAGATTCAGCCTAAGTCTGGACTGAGTGGAATTTTTAATGGTGAAACACTGACACTGCAGTTTTGTCCAAGACTCAGCTGAGCCCACATCCAGAAACCCAACCCCAATAGTGATATTCTGACTGCTGAGACAGAATTATTATATAAAATGCAGTCAAACTGTCCCA